TGGTCCTGCTTTGAGAAACAGCCCTGGGAAAATGCTCAAAGGCTACTATGAATGTATGGTTCCAATTGAAACACTTAACAAGTCTTCAGAAAATCAACCAGAAGTGATGCAACCTGTTTGGTGAAGCAGGAGTGAGAATCTTTACCTCCCTAGGTCTGAAGGTAGCTTTGTGCAGCCGGGGCCTCCTATAAGACATCCGCAATGTCTCCCAGGAAGTGGCAGAGAGAGAGGTGTCTTCCACTTCCAAGGAGGAAGTACCAGATTTCCCAGAATTCTCAGAGAAGGCCATGCGCACATAGAAGTCTCATTGGCTAGCTCCAGATTGACAGCCTAGACTCCACCCCTACACTCTTAATCCTTATATTGACACCAGATTAGGTGACTACCACAAGCACCCACCCAACACTGGATACCTGGGGCGCTTTCACCAAAACAGTAAATTTTGGTCAGAGGACTTTGAGTTCACTGCCTTCCTATCACAGAAGATTATTTCAGACTCTATCTTTCAAAGCATACTCAGAGCATTCAAAGTTAAATTTTTGCCCAGTGGGTTTGGTGATTTTAAAAATTCTTCAATAAGGTGCCTTGTACACATACCGCATAATACTAATTGATCTCTATTTTTTTATTTATATGATCTTCACATTTTAATGGCTCAGCATAAATATCTTTTATCTTTGTACCTTGTCTCTTTCTTCTAACTTTCCCATCCCAAGTCCAAACTCCCATTCACTAAGAGAACAAGAGAGGAGAGTATTTCTGGCTGGCTCCTCCTTACTGCTCAGGCCCCTGTGCCACAGGGGGATTTCTCTGGCGCCACCGACTGGTCTCTGTTGGGCATGAGCGTCTAGCACAACGCCCAGTGTAGAGAAGCGCTAACGAACAGTTGATGCCCCTGCCACCTGTGCACCAAGCCTTCCTCCCATGCCTTGGCAGCCTTCCTGCCCTGTGTACTGAGGTTTTGCCTCGGCCCCCGCCCAAGGCAGTCTGCCATCAGATAGAGATGGTGGAGAAATAAAACCAGTTCCTCCCTGTGGAACAGAGCTGTGGATTTGATTAAAGCCATTTACCCTGAAGATGAAGCAATTAAGAGGTTTAAGGAAGACTAGTCATGGTGGGGAAACAAAAACAACAGTAGCATTTATTTTTCAGAATAAAGTTTTATTTTCATTTAGTTATAAAGATGAGAAATATTTAGCCTCTGCTCTGTAGTAAGTGTGATACACCACGCTTCTGCTTAATCTTACTGCGAGAATGTAAAATCATGTTTTTCACGAAGAATGAAAGCAAAAAGAAAAGAAAAACTACATGAATCCAGCTAAAACCACTAGCAAGGGATGCAGCTAATATTTGTCCCTAATCTCTTTCACCTCCTGAGAGTGCTCATGATGAACAAAACTAAGTCATCAGAAGAGACCGTTGACCAGGCAGTCTCTTCCTTGGGCACTGCCGCGCACACTGGCCTGTTGGAGATGGTTTGCTCTCCCTGTCTGGTGTAACTCCCTGAGGGGCACTCATCCATCTGCTTGCTTCTCCAACCATCTGGCCGGACCCAGGGAACATGATCTTCCTGCCACGTTACTACAAATCACCACATCCTGCAGTCGCTATAGCTGAAATTGTAGCCTGACCACGAGACAGGCACTTTTGAATCTGTGAGACGCCCAAGGGTGGGAATCTTTGCCTAATATATCACCAGCCTGCAGGGCTTCCAGGCATAATGCCAACTCCACGCCTTACAAACGAGGAGATCCGACTGACACAAGACAGGGGGTGCAGGACACTCTTCCATGCCAGCACCTCACTGCTTCTCTTGCAGGCCCTAGGAAAGACCAACCACGCTGCTGTGAGCCTGACGTGGGGCAAAGAGATGTAGGAGAGAAGGATGGCATGGCTTCGTGGCACACTGGACACCACCTAAAAATACTAAAGAATCAGACATTAAAAAAAAGACTAACCTATGTTATATTTTTCTTTATTTATTTACTTAATTTTTAATTAAAAAAAGACTGCTGTGCATGGTGTGAAATGCTCATTTAATTTAATCCTTATAGCAATTCCAAATGTCCTTTCTTTTTTTGGTTATCAGTTTTATTAGTAATCAACATGTCATATAATTCAATAGTCCCATCATCAAGAGGAGTTGCACAATTATCACCACATTCAATTCCACACTCTAGTCTTCTTCTTTGTACTCATCCATGTAATTTATTTTCTAATTGTGACAGAAATATACACAATAAAACATTCTCCAAGTCCACAACTTCTACATATATAATACAGTGCCATTAATTACACTCATGTTGTACAATCATTTCTAACTATAAATGTGTGTATGTGTCTGGCTAAAATTTCAAATGAAATGTTATACAGAAAAAGTCCCAAGCCTTGAGGACAACATACCGGCATGGAGCATTGAACTAACAGAGGACGCCGGGCCTGGGCCCAAGCTGAGCTATGCTGACCCACTCCCCAGAGGAAGGTAATACAGAGGTCAGCACTGAAGACAGAGCCCGGGGAGAGTGGTGGGGCTGTCCAGACCACACAGGTGCAAACTAAGAGGGAGAGAGAGAGAGAGAAAAAACCTCATCATGGCCCACCAAATCTGGGGACAACATCCCTGCTCAGAGCAGCCAGTGCACAGAGGATGCTAGGGCCGGCCCCACCAGGAGACACAACGTTCCCTCACTGACCCATAGTACTATGGGGGGCAGCACTGTAGGCACTGTACACGTACAGCGGGGTGAAACTCAAAGGGAGTGCAACAGGGTGCAAGGGGAACAAAGTAACAAAGTCCCTGAGGAATCCAGAAAATAGACTTCTGACTCAGGTGACAAGGCTTAGCACCTCATCAGACCTGAATGGAAAACACTCTTAAGGATCAGCAGACACACCTGGGACTATCTATTGGTCTTTGTTGTTATTTTCTTTCTCTTGCCCTATGTCTATATAAGAAAGACAGGACAAACAATCCCTGGGAGAAAACAGGACCGGAGGCCCGAGGGGGGGTGGGGGTGAACAGGGGGACATGGGAGAGGTGGGGACGGGGAGAGGAAACAGAGAGCCAACAAACTCAGGAATAAGGGAACAATAAGAGATCTAAAATTGATGGTGAGGAGGGCATATATGCCTGGTGGGGTTGGATCAGGTGCAATGTATCGGAGAGGAATTACTGAGAGCTGATTGGAGGGTGAGTGTGATAGTGGGATAGGTGGAAGGTGAAAGGAAATAGAAGAAAAAAGTAGGAGGCAAAAGCTATTTATAGAGATATATCTATAGGCATGTGTATATGTAAATATATTACTTTATAATGAAAGGGATAGAGGCCAATGTACATATATTTATGTTAAGTATTAAGATAGCAGATGGACTTTGGGCCACTCCTTAAGGCCTCCCTAAACACAAAAACACTTCGTTCTAATAAACTCTTTGATACTCACCTTCCCAACAAGATCACTGAAGGCAAAATGGGTGCATAAGTAAATGTGAAGAAAGTGGATGCTGCCTGGCTAATCAAAAGATATAGCATCTAGGTTCTTAAAAGCTTCAAGTTAAACAAACAGCTATCTAGCAGGGAAGCAAATAAGCCCACAAGGAAGAAGCAGCCTGTGTGATCTTGAGGTATCAACAGGATCAGGGATCAGGTATCAAAAGATCCAAAACAAACAATTATATCAATGCAAAAGAGAGGGGTTGGAGTGGAGACCCAAAGCCCATCTGTAGACAATTAGACATCCCACCACAGAAGGATTACAAGGAAGGGACAATTCAATCAGGGTGCAGTATAGCACCAATGAAACACATCATCCCTGTAGTTCCTGAATGCTTCCCCCTTCCCCTCACTACCATGACCCAGTTCTACTTTACAAATCCAGCTAGATCAGAGTACACACATTGGTACAGATAAGCGCTCTCAACACGTGGAATTCAGGACAGATAAACCCCTCAGGAACAGGAGTGGGAGTAGCGATATCATGAGGTTAGGGGAATGGTGGGGGTGAGGGGATGGGCAGAAAGGGGGAACTCTTCACAAGGATGAGTATATAGCCCCCCTGAGGGGGATGAATAACAGAAATGTGGGTGAAGGGAGACAATGGATGGTGTAAGACAAGAAATAACAATAATAATATATAATTGATCAAGGATTCATGAGAGGGGGGAGGGTGGGGGAGGGAGGGGAAAAACAGGAGCTGATACCGAGTGCTCAAGTAGAAAGAAAATGTTTTGGAAATGTTGATGGCAACATATGTGCAAGTGTGCTTAATACAACTGAATGATGGATTGATATAAGATTTGCAAGAGCCCCCCAATCAAAAAAAATAAGCAGTTTTTTAAAAAAGAAAAGAAAAAGTTAACATCACCCACTGAGTTACCTTCCTATTGTTGATGTCACAAATTATCACAAACTTAGTGGCTTAAAACAATACAAATATATTATCTTCTGGCTCTGGAGGTCCACATGGGCCCCTCTGGGCTCCAATGGTGCAGGCAGGGCTGTGTTCTATCTGGAGGCTCTGGGGAGAATGTTTCTTGAACTTGCCCAGTTTCTAGAGGCGACTTACCTTCTTTGACTCACAAACCCCTTCCTCCATCTTCAAAGCTAGCAGTGTAGTATCTTCAAGTCTCTCTCTGACTTTAACGCTGATTCTCTGGCCCACCTCTTTCATTTATAAGGACCCTTGTGATTACATTGAACCCATTTGGATTATCTAAGATAATCTCTCCAACTCAACTCATTAGCGACCTAAATTCTATCTCCAACATTAATGTCCCCTGCTCTGCCATGCTACCGAGGTGGCAGGAATTATCATGTGGACCATTTGGTGAGGCTTCATCCTTCAACCTACCCACAACATCCATCTTTGCATTAACCAGGGGTAATCATAGGTGCCCATCCCAGTACAGCCCGCTAGGGGGTGCCCGTGGCCTCCGCGATCCCGTTGCTGTGGCAACCGTCCGCCATTGCACTGGCTGCCCGGGCGCGGAGCTGGAAGAGCAAGATGTCCCTGAGTCCCTGCGGCAGTGACCTGGAGGTCCGCCCCAAGTCGCGACAGACAGCTACTAAGCGGGCGATCGCCAAAAACACAAAGCGGGCGGCCCGCCTCTCCACCGGGCGCTCCCTGGAGCTACGCACCTCGCCCCCCACCCTGGGGTGCGGGGTCGCGACCAATGCGCTGAGGCAGCTCTTCGTCGTGGGTAAGAAGAGGGTTGAGGGCGCCAAGGGGGTCCCCACGGAGTCGGCGCCAAGGCGGCCCTCAGCGGGAACCCTCCACGGAGATCTTCCCCCAGGAGCCCAGGCCCGGCCTGCTCCGCTCCTGGGGTGGGGGTGGGGGTGGGGGAGAGAGAAAGAGGAGAGGCGCAGGGCCCTGCCCCGCCTGGTCCAGCGCTGCTGGAGGGACTGGGCCCTGCTGGCGGGTGACAGGTCCCAGACTCCCAGGCCACCGCCCTTCCGCGCTGGTCTTCGGTGGTCCTCACACGCCTGCCCACCGGCCTTGGGATTGTGCCTCGGGTCACCGCGCCTTCCTTCCCGCCTTTCCTGCGCAAGGTACGGTGGTTGCAGTCAGTATTTCCCCACTGGCAACTGGAGCGTGTACCACTCACAGGACAGCAGAGGACCCGCCCCGCCCCGCCCCTCTCCCATGGCTGTTAACCACAAGGTCAGCAGTTCGAAACCACCAGCTGCTTCGCTAGAGCAGGATGGGGCTTTCTACGCCCCTAAATGTTGAGAACTCTCAAGGGCGGCTCTATAGGGACACAATGAGTTGGCAACGGCTTGGTGGCAGTGAGTTGTTATGTCGGGGAAAGTGGTCATAAGAGGCTTCTATTGTACACAGTGGCTTCGAACACTTCATGGAAAATTCCTTTGTTGTTTCATTCCATTTTGCCACGAACTTTTTGAAGCCTTTTTTTTTGTATTTGGATCCAAACGCCATCACTGATAAGTCCTGTGACCTTAGAGAATGGACATAAATAACTACATGGGTTGACCTATCCTTACACCTGAACTTGTCAGGTGCTGCCCAGTCTATTCTAACTCAGTGGCCCAGTGTAGACTGCGCAGCCCCAGCCATCCTCTCAATAGCTGTTACCTTTGAGCCTATTGTTGCAGCCGTTGTGTCAATCCATATCTTGAGGCTCTTCCTCTTTTTAGCTGACCCGCTACCAAGTATGATGCCCTCCTCCAGGGACTGACCCTTTGTGATAATAAGTCTGAAAGATGTGACCTGAGGGCTTTCCACCCCAGAAGTATTGTGGCTATACTTCTCCCGAGACAAAGTTGTTTGTTCTTTGGGCAACCTGTAGTATATTCAATATTTGGTGTTACCAAAACCATAATTTAAATGCATAAGTTCTTCTGTTGTCTTCCTTATTCATTGTCCATGTACATGAGGCTACTGAAAATACCAATGCTTGGGAGCAGGCACACCTTAGTCTCCTCAAAGAGACATCTTTGCTCTTAAACATTTTATTTTTTGTTTTATCCTATATAGATCTCTTCTTTGTACTATACAAGATGCAAAGATGAGTATTAGAAAGAGTTGGTTCTCTACAGGGAATCCAGGACAGATAAACCCCTCAGGACCCATAATGAGAGGAGCGATCCCAGGAGGGTGAGGGGAAGGTGAGAGGAGAAAGGGGGAACCAATCACAAGGATCTGCATATAACCCCCTCCCAGAGGGACAGACAACAGAAAAGTGAGTGAAGGGAGACATCAGACTGTGTAAGACATGAAAAACTAATAATTTATAAATTATCAAGGGTTCATGAAGGAAAGTGGGTGGGGGAGAGAGGGAAAAATGAGGAGCTGATACCAAGGGCTCAAGTAGAAAGAAAATGTTTTGAGAATAATGATGGCAACAAATGTACAAATGTGCTTGACACAATGGATAGATGTATGGATTGTGATAAGAGCTGCACGAGTCCCCAATAAAATGATTTCTAAAAAAGGAGTTGGTTTCAAGGAGTATAAATTGTATACCTAAGTCAGAGTACCATAGGATAGGAAGTAGCAAATTGAAAATATAGTCACATAAAATGCTAAGAAAATCAGACATAACAGGTATAACTTCCAGCTCAATAAGCACGAGATAGATCTCAAATATCACTGTTAATTTGATGTCATTTTCTTTTTCGATACAGTCACAATTCTTTTGAGATGGATGGGATAATTATGATTAAGGAAATTGACCCTTGAAGATGCTAAATTACTCACATACAGTCAAAGTCATTGTCAATGATAGAGCTAACCTTGAATTCTTGATTTAGACAGATGAATAAGAGATTCTAATTTTCTCTTTCTTTTTTCTTTTTAGAAAAATCACTACAAAGTGACTATTTTAAATGCGATGAACAAGTCAGAAATTTTCTTAAGGACGTTGCAGAAGCCGTTAAAAAACTGGTATGTATTCTATATCTCCATCTATAAAATGTATTTTGTCCTCAAACTTTCATGAGCATCAACTCTGTCCCTGGGTAGCACAGTTTGGTATTGGCTACTAACCAAACCTTTGCAGTTTGAGCCCAGCCCAAAGTGCCACGGAATCCAAGCCTGGTGATTTGCTTCAGGCAAGATGATAGCCAAGCAAACCCCATGCAATTCAGTTCTACTCTGTAACACGAAGGTTTGCCACGACTTGGACTCGACTCTATGACAATTTTTGTTTTTCTGTTCAAGTACTTAACAAAATGAATAGAGGGAAAATTACCTTCATTTAAATAACAGTTCCTCTCAACTTGCCAATCATTTGCAACAGTATTGATCAACTGTAGATCGTTGCTTATTTTCTACTTGGAAAACGAAATTATGTACTTGTGCTCATTCAAAACACCCCTGCTGATGATGGAAAAGCTTGGTTATAGGGTGGGCCACATGATTAAATATCAATGAATAAACATTGCTCAACAACAAACAATGGATAAACAAGCAAACTCCTGGACAGATTGAATGGACGGTGCCAGTTAATTCTGTTTTCTAAAAACAATTTTTTACAAAACTGGTGGTTATGAGTTGGATTTCAAGGTCAGTGGTTCGAAACTACCAGCTGCACTGGGAGAGAAAGATGAGGCTTTCTACTGCCCTAAAGATTTATAGTATTGGGAACCCACAGGGGTGGTTCTTTGATGTTTTGTTGTTTTTTTTTAAACATTTTATTAGGGGCTCATAACTGTTATCGCAATCCATACACACATCAATTGTGTAAAGCGCATTTGTACATCATTCTCAAAACATTTTCTCTCCACTTA